TGAATCTCCAGAGCCATGTCGTTGCAGATGTGGCAGCAGGGGTCTGCACACAGGAGCCGCCGCACATGTCCCTCCTGAGGAAGCCAGCCCTGGCTGGGAAGGGAAACATGGCGGCCGTTACTGAGGCAGTGGCATCAGACTCCTTGGAAGAATGTGACTGGGGGGTTGGCCCTGTGCTCTCCTAGGCCTGTAGGTCCTGGGCACCCCTGGCAGTCTACCACTTTGCCTTTCTCCCTAAGCAAGGGCCACGCAGCAGGTTGGGGCTGGCTGAGCTGAAGGACTGGGTCTTGCTGGACAAAGTCGAAGACAACTGGTGGGTGGGTATGACCCTCTTAGAGGACCGGGAGGGGGTTCAGTTAAGAAGCTGAACTAGGAGAAGGGAATGAGGTAGATGAAGGTGTTGAGTACTTAGTGGAATGGGCCACACCAGAAACATCTCCAGGCTAAACCTGGAGTTATTCTTGTTTGAGGTTAAGGAACCAAAGCCTGCTATTCAGTGTTTCCACGTGTAAAACAAGATTCTTGTGGGAACTCTGAGTTCTGGGGGGTGTGGGCTGTCCCTGGTGCTGTACACTGTATCTTTTGTAAACCAGTTCTGTTCTCTGGAGATCTTAACAGGATATTATGACAGGTTCCTGTCTGAGGGATGTCTCAGGGACTTGCTTCCCTGAAGACAGACCAGAAGAGGTAATGTTTTTTAAGGTCCAGCTAAACTTAGAGGAGTCATCCCTGAAAAGACTGCAAAGAGTGTGACAGTGACATGTATACAAAATCCATTGTCTTAACTGGATAACTTTGCTGAGTTCAACCCCATGTAGAGTTGCTTACGAATTACATACTAGTCAGACCTGGATTCTAGGATGACCGTGGCTCTAGTACCAAGAGCAGAATTGGGAGACTTCTATTCTGGGACGTTGGATCCCCCTGGCCCTCGCTGTGCTCTCAACTAGTGAACCAGCCTTATTCCTGCTCTCATCCTTGCCTGGGTCATGTAGGAAGTGACCACAGGCCAGGCTGCGAGTTGGAAGACAGCCAAGAACAACTCACCTTTTCATGACGGAGAGCAGTTCCCATGGCTTCTCAGCTTCTTTCCGGGAAGCCCTCCTAGCTGCAAAAGCAGGAGACAGTGTTAGGTGTGATGGGAGAGGGTCAGGGCATCCTACAGGAAGCTGTGTAATTATGCTTTTGACTCTAAATGAGAGAAAGCTGAAAGTCTCAAGTTATGCTCTAGAGCATGTCTTTGTACAACTCCAACATTCCCAATGTGCTGTCCCGGAACTCGATTCACCTGAACTTTACCAGCAAGTGTTAATGAGGTAGCACTGAGTATTGAGAGACTCAGCGGCTTTCACAGATCAAAAACTAGTCAGTAACACACTTAAGGACTTTTTCCCTCTTCTTGTTTCTCATTCCCAGGGGAGCAAGCTAGTGAATTTGGGAATCTTCCCAGGCTCTGATATCCCATCCAAAGAAGCTTCCGTGAGAAGGTGTCAATTTATGGACTCGGATCTTCCATGTTGAGAGCATCTAGCTCCTGGCACCAAGGGTTAAAGAAAGTGCCCACAGTGAGAGGAAGCACAACAAGATATTGGGACCTTACCTCTTGATGCTGCATCCCGAGCTCTGTGTCTGGCTCTCTGACGTCGCTTAAAGACAAAGAAGAATGTGAAGCTAGGACACCGTTTTCTTTTAATATTCAAATGAGCTGAACACCATAAACACCTCTCAGCCCCTTCTGTGTATCTTCCTGTATTTATACACTCTTCCTTTCCCCAGTCCACCTCTCTCTTTTCCTTGATTGTGGTGAAACAGATACAACAGAACGTTGGCCATTTTCACCCTATTTCCATGTGTAACTCAGTGGCATGAGTGACACTTACCCTGGTGCCTCCACCACCACGATCCATTTCCAAGTTCCCCGTCTACCCTCTCACCCCAACACTTTCCTGCTCTGTCTCTGATTCCCTTCAAAGCTCTTCCACACCCCACGCCTCCACCCCACACCCAGGGGAAGTTCTGTGGGGCGACACAGGAAGAAGAGCGGGACAAATAAAGGTGAGTGGCTCCAGCAGCCAAAGGCTTCTTCTTACAAAAGAACCAGCAACCAGAGAAATGACCTAATGGGGAGGCCTTCTGAGCTCCAGCAAGGGACGCTTTACATGTTCTGGTCTCAACCCCAAGCCAGGTGGCGATACTCTTGCTTTCAAAGTAGAGTATGCTTCAGGGAGACCTCGCGGGGACCTGGATCTGAGAAGTGAATGACTATGTAAGAGCAGCTGAAGGTTTCATATAAAAAACTTGGGGACAGAGATGCTAAGGAGAGAAACTGAGGGTTTGCAATTTTCTTGTCTGAGCAGTAACAGTTCAGCAGTGGTCAGGGTATTTCCCTACCCG